CTAACCCTCTTAATGACTTTGTCGAGGAAGACCATCCATCTTTCTCTCTGCGCATTACAGGACTGAACCCCAGGAGGTGACCGCCTGGCAGATACACACGGTTTACATGGAGCCATGCTGGAGACAATGCTGCGGTAAACACAACATCACAAGGAGTGCATGCTTTGTAGTTTTGGAATGATAAATATTAGCAGATTTTAAATATTATTACACAAATCTAGATTATTATGGCTACAGGCCTGAACATGAGCTGCTTATACTTGATGAATTGCATTGATTTATTTGAAATGAGGAAATCACGCTATAAATTCACTAAGATTGAATTGAAAAGAGTCATTATGACAAATTCTGATGGGAGAAAGTGAGATTTCTGTAAATACAGCAGGAGTGTCATCACTTAAACTTCTTTGCATGTTGGTTCCATGAAGATCCTTTAAGTCCATGTAAACTTTCCATTGCACAAACTGTTTTTTTTGATAGTGGGAAAAGGTTCTTCAGATGGCTCTTTTAAGAACTGTTCACCAAAAGTTTCTTTGAGGAACCCAAAATAGTTATTCTGTGGCACTGCTATAAAAAAACTCTTTTGAAATCTTTATTTTTCACAATCTTTCGTTTAGAATCGATTAGTGGAACACTGCCTTCAGCACACAGATTTGACTCCCAGTTTGGTTACAGTTCTATGGTTTTGATTGAATGTGAAATTATTGTCAAATCTTGCTTTAACTCTTCCTTTTCACGAGACAATTTATTGATGGACCTCACAGGACACACCTGTATTCACAGCTGTAAATCTGCTCTTTCCTCCTCTCTCGCCCACTTAGTATAAACAAATAACACCTACCAAGTGAATTCTTTGTTCATTTAGAGTGCCTTGAAGCAAATGAATTACAGATCTCTAATGATAAAGGCTTAGATAAATGAAGTCATTTTGGAACTCGATTTCGGTCCTCAGATATGGTTAAAGGTGATTTATGGGGAACATTTCGATTCCTTGGTCAGAAACAGCTCTGTGGAGAAAACAAGCAGAATTTCTGCAGCTGGCCGTTGAGTTGCGTGTGAACACTTTGTCACAGAGCAATCTCCCACAAACACAGATGCGTAAATACACTCTCCTGCTATGCTCACAGAGAGAAACTCCAAACTGAGGAGGGCAAAGCCACATAGAGACGTTTACCTCACGGTGTTTGAAACGCAGCGAGAGTTCAGTGCTTCTCAAATACAACAGCCCTGTTACTCGTTTAACTTTGCGGTTTAAATGCCTTGGCAGTGTATTAGTGGCCTTTTGGCAGCAGCAGGCAACCATGCACTGTTAAATGGGTGAAAGTGAAAGCTTCTCAAGCCATCCTTGACACAGTTCGTATCAAACAGGGAATTGTGGGAAGGTGCTATTGTGCAATGGCCTGGTAGATGCTGTAAATTATTTAGATGCTGTAAAATACATTTTAAACAGAGAAACTTGTGTAAATGTGTATATATCTTTAAAAATTTATATAAAACAATATTATATTTGAAACGTACATTTCAGACACAACAATGTCAGTCTATATTTGTTCCAGCAATGAAAATTGTTCCAAACTAAGCCAAAGAAGAACTGACTGTTGCGTGTCTCTGAGACACACATTAGTGAATCAGTGTGTCTGAATGAATTGGTTAAATAAATTATTCAATGATGCACTCAAAAAATACTTGTTTTGTTTCCTGAATGAATCAATATGTTTGAAATAATTGGTTGTGTGAATGATTTCATGATTTTACGAGGCTATCAGCGCTGATGGCAAGTCGACAAATCTAATTTTCCTAAAAGATCTTTCATCTTTTTAATCTTTAGTATTTACATTTTATTTTATTTCAGCTTGTTACAATTGATGAAAATTATTTTAGTATTAGCTCTAGTTAACAATATCAACACTGTCTAGAAGTAGCTGCTCTATAATAATACAATTATTGTTAAATTATGTAATTACATTACCTTAAATATTTTACATAATGTTATCAGCATATTTTGCTCAGAACTTTTTGATTTAACTTGGGCCAGAGGAGGTTCAACAACGGCCGGCTCTGACATACGAAGACAAACTGGTGCTGTGTGTGCTCATGGGAGCTGGTTTGGATCAGTCAGCAGCCTGTGATGTACCATGTCTCTGTACTCTCTGGAGGGTGATTTGGGGCAAGAGCGGTGGGCCGAAAGCAAAGGGCTCCAGCAGCTGCTTCTAGTTGTGTACACACATAATACAAATACACACATATGAACATACGTACGTACGTGTTCATACACACACAGCCTTTCTAAATGGCATCTGGTTCCTCATGAAAGATATCGAGGTGGGATGTTGGGGTCATCCGCTGAGCCAGGAGTGCAGTTTGGTACTTAATCTCATAAACATGACTCTGGATTCTTCACAAGTGATGGCAGCATTCCAGAGCTGATCCCACAGGCTGCTGTAGCACTCGCATCCAGGAATCAGTCATCTGTGCTTTGGTCCGGACCCAAGTAACAAGAACCACACTGAGGGGAGATCAAGTACATAAACAAGGTGTGCTGTGTCTTCTTATTGCTGTGGCTCAGCTGGTAGAGCATGGCGTTAGCAACGCCAAGGTCATGTATATATATATATCTTCATTGCATTGTAAGTTGCTTTAGATAAAATACAGTGCCTGTGTCAAACCGATGAAAGCTTTGTGCTTGTAATATACAAATAATAAGCCATTTATTTACCGATAAACAATGATACAAAGACTAAAAAAACGTTCAAATAATGCTTGGCTTAACAGTCGGTAAAATATAATCAGCAATAAATCTTTTCATACTGGCATGTGTGCTGTCCACCTTGTGCAAGACAGTAAACACCAGCAGGATCTCTTTCATGACCTTACTTACAACTGTTTTTCTGAGTTCACTGATGAGAGAGTTAGTCAAAACCAGACTGTATTCAGAGCCAGAGGGTGAACAGCTCAATGTTAAAAGAACGGCTCGATCAGGATCTCATTAGAGACGTTTTATGATGAGGGACGTGAAGAATTTGGCAGCGTGAGAAGTACAAATCACGCTTTGCTGACGTGTGTCGATGTGTGGCAGCTGTACTGGCCAGATTTCGCCTGTTATGACGTGCATCTGATTGTAAACTACCTAACGTCAAACGCACAAACATGTCAAGACCAATGCAGCCATTTAAGGTGAACGAGGTTACAGAGAGGTGGTGGCTAGTTTTCTCTCCTACAACTTTCAAAACAGATTCTCATGCGATCACTAACATTAATCTGTGTAGGTTACAGCACCACCAAGTGGATCATGTATGAGTCTGTGACAAATAAAGATGTTCAAATGGAATATATTTGAAAACATGTTGATTCTTACTTAAAAAAACAAAATGAATCAGTACGAATTGAATTTTGATTATTTTTACTAAATTAAAAGATCCAGAAAAAGAGCATCACATCAGTGACCCTTTGAGTATTTGGGAAGTTAAGGTCACCAAATAATATTTTTACAAGTCTGAGGGACTGGTTTTCAATTAAATTCCTCTTTTTTTGGCTAAAACTAAAGTGCGGTTTGAAATACTTGCCTTGTATCCTTGTATACTTTCCTTGAGCTTGTTTTACGTGTGTAATGACTGTGGGTAGTGTGTGAGTTTGTGTGTGGGGAATGTTTACAACATCACTGTACGTGCAGATCGCTTGTTAAACAAAAAGTCATACGTGCAAGCTCCACATTACAGTGCCGTTACAGTGCTGTGATATATAAACCAACAAAAAACAGTAAAAACTTTGGCAGCTGAGGGAAACTTCTGAAACACCTCTAAAGAATGACAGGTTGACCTGTTAACAGCCTTCACCTGCCAACTTAAGGTAGCTGCTTTAGAAAAATATATTAGGCAATGCATTTACACATGATTGAGAAGGCCAACAATTGCATATTGCATTAATAACCATAAAAATCCCTTTGTGTTTTGGATGGTTTTTTGCTTGATTCAATCAGAAAAGTTAATATAAAATGCAGAGAGAAACCCTGCTGAATTACTGAACACCAGGACCCACCACAACGTTGCTAACCTGAGGTTTGGACACAATCTCTGATCTCTGGCTTTTTTTACAGACAATCTCATGGCACTTTGAGTGAGAAGCTGTGAGAAAGAGTTTGAGAGTGAGTGTGTGTAGCTGCTAGGTGGAATGAAAGAGAAATAGAATGGGACAGTTGAGTGGGACAGTTTTTTTTTCTAATCACAATTTCTTAGTGTGTGGAATATTTTTACACAAATTTTCAAATAATATCATTAACCATATTGTTTAAACGCATGATATGACTTCTAATTGATTGGTTTTCCAAATTAATTTTTGATTATTTTTTTCGGGGAACAAAATAATAGCCCTATAATATCTTAGTAGTAAAAAATATTTTGGGAATTTAATGTGTATTTTCTATAAGAAAAATAAATCTAAACATCTTTGATATTCAATTCACATTTATATACAGTTTTTTCCCAATGTCATTTCAAAGCAGAAAATGCACCTTTGATACAACCATTCAAGATTTTATGCATTTTAGGGTTTAATTAGTTAATTATTGAAATTTTGGCAAGATAAGAGAAATATAATTAATGCTGAGTTAGCCAATCTTAAAATCTTGACATCAGCAACCGTGAAAACCATTACACTGTTTCAGACATCTGCAGACAACATTTTATTCAGTATTCAGTATATAAACGTCTGATATTTAATGCCTGTATAAATGTACCAAACAGATTCTCATCTGATATAGCACATTTTGCAAACTGTATAAACTGTGACGATGACTTTACTTTAAAAAATGTCTGAGTCAGTAAGTGAAAGTCTGAGCAACATTGTTTTTGGACAAAGCACTTTCTGGTGGTCTGTTAGTGATCTAAAGATGAGAGGTGTCATGTTGTTTTTGTCTACTACTGCAAAAAAAAAAAATTTTCTCTTCCCTTCTCATCATGGCTTCTTCCTCGCGCTATCTGCATGTTCCACGTCGGCTAAAGGAAGGTCGGCGCCTGTCGTCAGATCCGCAAAGCATTTCGGGCTACTGGAGGCTGATTCGCCCAATAATACAAACAAGCCGCCAGTCACATTGGAATCGGCTGAACATGCGAAAAGCCGCCTGCTTATGAATTAACATAAATTTAGCCTCCATGAATGCATGCTTTTATTATTTCCTCACTCTTTTGGAAGTGGCAGTATATAATCGCGTATGAACTGGGATAAAATATCCAGCACACGTGACAAATAGCTAATCCTACAATAGGAAACACACAGGTAAGATAACCTTTTATGTTTTGTTTTTAATTTATGCATTCTTTATCGCACTAAGCAGATGTTGAATTAGAATTCATGTAGTGCATTGTGGCTATATGATGACAAAAAATAAGATGTGGCTTTAGCTAGCGATCTTGCTGATCAAGTGTGTCATATTTGTCTTGATGCATGAAAAACGTTTTTTAAATTAAAGGCCCTTGGGCGACATGGACGGTCACTTGGACGTTGGATGCTTGAACCAGCCTGACACATTATAACAATGATGCGTTATGGGAAATAAAATACATAACTTAACTGTTTCACGGCTGAACAAGCCATAAGGGCGATGATGTAATAAACATCTTCAAACGGAGTAGAAATCACGTGCTTTTATTAAGTGGAAAAAAAAAACGGATTAAAGGAATTTTTTCTCGAGTTTGTAAAGGTGAATGATGTCGTAGTTAAATGGCATAAAAATGGTCGCCGTTCACCTGTCCCACCTGTTCGCCCAGGTAGTTGCTCCGTGGGATTTAGACACCGCGCATATCAACGATACGTTCACCGCTAGTTTAGACTTCGTAGACTTCCTGCATGTACTAACAGCTCATAGCTCATAACCGCATTTATGTTTTCAAGACTGAGTATAGCACGTGCCATGTGACACACAGCCACAACATCACTTATGTTTTATTTATTTTTTCCTTTTTATTCGAAACATCCCCAAACGCATTAACTAGGCTATATCATGAAATATCTTGATTCTCACCTTTATAGATTATGTTGATCTATGCATGATGGTCAAAGTAACCTAATAATGTAATCTATTAACTATGCATAAAGACCTGTCTGTTTACTTAATTAACAGATATGGGTGTCATGCCATAACATATTTTAATACGACTGAGTTTATGTGAATTTAACATTAAGTTAATGTGAATAAAAACATTGCAAGTTAGGCTACTAATCATAACACTTTCATTGTACAGAAAGAGAGCAAAGAACATTTACCTTATCAAAGAACATTTTCACTGACAGTCTAGTTCAAGCACTCTCAAAAACTCGCATTAAAATAACTGAAGCTGTTTACACTATGAAATTAATATCTTACAGATTCGTTCACACATTTGCACTTTGTTGTTTCTGACAAGAGAATTGCCAGCCAGCCAACACAGATTTGAATTTAACAGCTGATGATATGACGCACTGAACGTCACGCCAGTGTGATTGTATTAAATATAGAAAATATTAATCGGCTATTTTTTTTTTATTTTGGAAGCTGCATTCAAAATCCACTTGGCTCAGAAATCTGAGGGGGCAAGTGAATAAAAGTCATTGCCAACAGTTGACTAAATAGAAATACAATTGTTTCGTTGTTTGTGAGGAAAATGTATATTGTATGTAAAATGTACAAGCAACATAATTACACTTTAGTTGGAAAAAAAATCTGTCCAGCCACCCGTGCATGTTTCCAGATGAGCTATTCTGGAGGGTTTGCATACTGTATATGACAACAGGTTGCTAAAATGTCATCTAAATTGATGCCAGATGTCCTTCTGAATAATAGCATTTCTGCAGTGGATTGTGAGTGTCATGCTCACAGCATCTTTCTGTAGGTGATGATAGTTCGAAGTATTCATAAGTAAAAAAAGAATGTCATTCACATCGACAGGTAGCTGGTAAATCAAAGGTGATACTGCAAGCCACAAATTGAAGCATTGCTTTCTGGCATAAGGACTTTGCCACAGTTTCGTTACGCTAAGTAAATGGTGCTTATTTTAATGCCTTCAATAAGGTCACATCAGCCCACATCCCATGACCATGGTCCTATCCCCTGCATTCCATCATTATTGTAAAGGAGCACTTGCACTGGCTCACCGCCATCATTGCTGCTCACTGAGTGCAAATTTATTAATGCCAGTTTTCCATTCCTGTGGTTTACAGATAAGACCTGAACCATTAGCTTTTATCCTGCCTAAATTTCATGCTCTAGCACTCAGGAGAATTAAATGGCTCTTCTGTGAAGGCAGACTATGATGCCTCCGCTCAGATCGGCCCTTTGAGCACCGAGCCTCCCTCTCTGAGCGCTTGTCTAAAGCTGAAGCTTAGACGAACTTGCATGAGTCACATGATTGTTACATAGCTCCCAGCATTCCTATATTTTCCTCTGCCCATTGAGGAGGCTGAGCCTGGGAGCTTTATGAGAGCTAACAATGAAAGCCTGCTTGAGAAGTTGCTCACTCATTGCTGTGAAGCCCCTCCCGCAGGTGTGGGAATGGACTCTGAAGGAGTAACCAAAGCAAGTATCGATGGAAATACCTAGAAACTTGAAGGGGTTTTTAACCGAGTTAATTAGTTGGAAGTGAATGATCTAGTCCTTGAACTCCATGGCAGTTCCTTTCGTGGTAATGACTGGGTTGGGCTCTGTCAGATCTGATAAGTGCGTGTCAGCAGTACATTCCTGAGTAAACTCTTTTCCATCTACAGCTTCCGGCAAACGTATGTGGAATATAGAAGGCCTTATAAATTTTACAATTAAAGGGATATTTTTCCCCAAAATACAATGTGTTTTCGCAAAATGATATGTTAAGTAGAATGACAGCAGGCCTTGTTTATCATTCACTTCGACCTTGTGAGCCTGTTATAATCTAGCATTTGTTGTCTGAAGTGAGGTCTGGTGGTCTGCATTGTTAATTATCAGCTGTGAATTTATGAATATATTATTCCGAAATGTCACAAACAACCTTTTGTAATATATTGAAAAGCTCTGTTTTATTTTCTCATCTTTTTCCTTATCTCACTCTCTCTTTCAGTAACACTCCAGTATGGCGGACAGTTTGATGAGTAAAGCAGCCACTATGGAGATTCCTATTAACAGTAATGGGGACTCTAGGAATCTGGCAGAAGATGACAGCCTGGAGCAGGTGAGCGATACATGGTGATTCAGGTAAATTCAGATGCAGTTTTCCTGAGCTCACCCTATTGGTTGAGTTTTTTTTTTTTTTTCGTTTGCAAAGTTGAAGCCGTATCAAATCAACAAAGTTTCAAAGTGTCAAAATGTGGATGGTTGAGGTGTGGTTTTCATAGCTAGAGTTAGGTTTTCATAGAATAAAATATAGCTGTCTGCCCAGTTGGTTTAGTTTTGTTGCAGGTTTCACAATATCAGCCATGAGAAAAGATCTTAAGGTAGCAGGTGGTGCAAACATTGCAGTTTATGATTGTCCAGCTTTTTCTTGAAGACTTTAAATCCATTAAAAATAAGGTTGTCAGGCACGTTTATAAGTAATCATTCATTTCATAAAAGTGGCTTGTGGCGATACTTCAGTGTAAATCTAATGCGTCTTACTTGTCTTAGGCTTTTAAGAAGTAGAAAGCTAATTCAGCCAAGCACAGTGTTCAAATCTCTGTATTGTTGAAACCATTGTAAAGAAAAGGTAAAGTGGTAATGTTGTCACAAGACACACCTCTGTGAGACAACTAAACCGAGGCCACTAGATCCGGGAGAAGACATGTTAGGCAAACAGACAAGTAGTAATATTTGCTAGGACATTGAATCGTTCCTATAAGGAAGTTAAGGTTCTTTGTTTTAGTTTGTTTTAAATTTTTTCCGCCTAACATTTTCATGTTATGTCCATTTTTAAAAGCTCATTCTAGGATGACTGTGGCTGATCATGTTCACAGTTGCAATAATGGCTCAGCTGAAGGCAGATGGTACTTTGGCGTTACACGGTGTCTTTAAATAGATCAGGAGCATTGAGCCAGAATGTGACAACAGACTTTCTAAATGTTCTTGTCTTTCTTTACCCAGAGAGAGAAAGAGTGGCATCAGTGTTTTCGTTTTTTAATCATACCTTTGTTCACTGATGTTTGGATTGACGGGGATCTGTTAGCAACCCAATTTATGACTCATGATTAATAAAGAGGGCTTATTCATTGCTTAATTAGGGCTGAAATTATACAGAATAGTGTAACTCCATGCATTTTTTCTTTTATTGTCAAGCCTGGAAGCCTGTCTTTATTGTATTAACAGGTGCCAATTGGCCGCAAAATATGGATTCCATTGTGTTTGATGGTTTACTTCATCATCGCTGTTTTCAAGTCTGATTTTGTTTTACATTGTGCTTCATTTTTGGTTTGTTTATCATTCTTTTTGTCTTTTTGTTGTTATGTTCTTCCCCGATGTCTGTGCAGGCTGCAAAGATTCAGTGGAGCTTAAGAGAGAAGGTAGGGAGTCCCACAGGCCTCAGGGTGAGAAGGAACACTGGGAAGGGTGGCAGAGTGTGTGTGTGTGTGTGTGTGTGTGTATGCCTGCACGTGTATGTCTTTCCAGCAGATAACGATTTTAGTTCTCCCCATAACCTGGTCACAATGGACAGGATGTTTTTCAAATCACATGCATTATTTTTTGGCCTGTGTCACTCCCTGTTAATCAGTGTTTGAGGTCAGATACAAATCCAAATGATACATATTTTATTTGTTTGTTTTGAAAAACATCCTGTTTTGTCTCTCTGTGGTATTAACCCATGGGTAGCTACCTTTTAGTAACTATTAACTCTGTATGTTCAATGAAATTTTTATTAACCTTTACAATTAATTTTGTTTTGTTATAAAGGGGGTATTGCATACAGTACAATGACTGAATCTTTTTTTTTTTTTTTTTACATCAAGGGTTTCAGTCTTTTCAGGTCATGGTTTATGAAGCTTGCATTGGAAAGCCATTTAAATACTCGTTATTGATAGACATAGTCATATACTTGTACATTACATTCTAATTTGACTTTGTTTCTGCCACATTTAAATGTATAATGATATGTTTAACTAAACGTTGTTATTTAACTTTAGTCAGAGTTGAATTAATGATATATTTAACACATTAAAAAACAGCTGATCAAACCATTGCGGATTTGCAGAACTCCCGTTAAAGACCCCTTTTTTATCAGCAATAATGTTTACAGATGTTGTTGTTTATTTGTGAGAGCTTTTTCTTAGTTTATCGTCTCAGATAACATGTAACACACTGGTGTGGGTTGTTGAGAGTTTTTATAGTCACTAATGTGACTTGTTTCAGATAACAGACTGTTTCTTTGTGCTGCAAATGCCTTGTAAGCTTTTACTACATCAAGGAAACACATGGATTTTTCAGAGGGTTTGTTTTCACAGGAAATTAAATATGACATTTTTTACGTGATTCACAGGCACATGATTCTTAATAATTCTGGTTCTAGTGTGATTCTAACCCTAAAATGTTCTTTCTAACATTTTACAACTTATGCCAATGTTTGTGTTTGTAGAAGTTACAGGATTGGCTCATTTCATGAAAAAGAATGCCTAGGTTATAATATTACGGTCTTAAGATCTCTTCCTCTTGGTGTTTTTTTTTTTTTTTTTTTTTTTTTTTTTGTAATTGTTTACAATATGCTTCTGAAATGTCTCCTTTGAGTACAACAGAAGGCATCATTCCGACCAGTTCCATCAAAGGTAAAATTATGTTCTTCTAAAACCCAATTGCTACTGCACTGTGCAAAATATCTTTTTTTTAATGAACTGGGCAAAGAAATCTGTGTATAATTAGGCTAGTTTTAGATTCACTTGACCCCAATCAAAATTGGAGTTTTGTTATTAGTGATATTTACCATGTTTGGAATGACTTTGATGACATTTGTCTTTCTAAAGCAAATACATACATACATTTTTTCTAGATACACTTGGAATTGTACAATATGGTTTGCATAATTTCCACCATGGGGTTTCCACTCCTTTCTTTCCTATGGTGCAATCCAGAAGAGCCCCCAGGGCCTCCAGAGGCATTGGTCATTATGTGTATAGGTATTCATTGAGTCATGCTTGATGGCTTTAAAGTTTGACATTAACCAGAGTGAAAAAGGCCACAGATCTGAAGAGACAAATGAGCTTCAGCTTTGTTTTGTTTTTTTGTTTTAAATAAATTTCCTCTGCAATGGAAAATGAGGCTAACTTCTGCAAAGTAACCCAGCCAAAACTGACTGCTTTTGATTTTATTTTAATTTAGTTACATGTGGCTAACAAAACCACTTCTTTTCTGGACAGGATTTGTGATTGTAAGGTGACCATCCTGGCCCCTTAAATTTATTCACTTCTGATTCAGTGAGGACCTTCTGTCTCTTTTACCCTTTCTCAGGCCCTGCGGTCCGTCTTAACACTGACTTTTTGGGCAACAGACGCATTCCAAATGAAGGGCAAGGTCATTCATTCGTAACGCATCTCTCTTCTTTCTTGTTTTCCACCTTCCCATGGTGCCTTGAATTATAGTCCTTTTCAAAACTGTTTTTGTCTTTCCTAGACAGAGTATGGGATGCTGTACTACAGGAATACATTTAATCGCCTGGCTTTTCTTTTCTCTCTTAGCAGTTTGGACTGGGCTACATTTTCTCTTTCTCTTCTTTCTGGCAGGGTTAAGGTTGCTTTTTTCACTTGCAGGAATTTTGTAATGAGGATTCTTTTGTCATTTTCCTTTCAAAATCAGTTTAAACTTTAATCTGGCTTTAATCTTGCTGACTTTGCAGAGGAAATGTTTAGAAAAATCTGCTGCAAAATGGCTGTGTAAAATATGTTTGGGGTAAATCCTTTTATTTTTTCAGACAATACTTCTGAGACACATACTACACAAACTGAGACAATGCTTTTTCTGATACTTCTGTGTAAATGAATACTTGTAGTTAAAAATAAATTACCAGACATATTGGGGTTTAAGTCATGTGATGTTAAGTGAACTGTACATTGTCTCGCTCTGTTTGTCATGAGGCAGCCGATTTAACGAAAGTTGTATGCTTTCCTGTTTTCATTTCATCTCATTACATTATCACCTTCTCTCTCTCCCTTTTTCCCTTTCCCCTCCCTCCATCCTCCTGCTCTTCCTTCAAATTCACACACACATACACGCTGACATTACACACTTCACTCATATGGTACAACCCATTCCATTGTAAAAATCATTTTCCCAATTGCCTAAATAATTGTAAAACTTCTTGCATCTTGCATATCTACCACCTACTCCCTGTTCCCCATCATACTGTATACCCCCAACATCCCCTGCAATCCCTGGCCATGACCACCTCCAGACCTGCAAATGAAGTCTAGGGGTGTTAGCATTGCCCCAAGCCAGATTGCTGCCTGCCGAATAGCCCACCAATCAGAAGACATCCCAGGTATTCCAAAGAGCACTGGATCATTTAAGGGCTCTTTGGCAACACATTCCCCCTACTCAGTAAAACACTTTCATTTATTCACTCTCATCTCATCTGTTTCACATATATCTGATGCACTTTCAGAGCTGTCTCTGATGCAGTTATACCAACAATATCTGCAAATGATGTGTAAATAATGTGGAAGTATAGACAGTTGTACAGTGTATATGTAATTTGAAACTTACTGTAAGTATGTTCTGTGTATCAGGGTCCAACATGCGTCACGGCAGCAGCAATTCCTCCATGACCGCAGAAGAGGCCACAAGAGGCGTTGCTGTGGAGAAATTTGACATCGTGAAGAAATGGGGCCTGAACACATACAAGGTTTGTCAATTAACTGTTTGTATTTTGTGATTAGTTGTCATGTGCTGTTAACCACTCCTATTCTAAAGTCATTTCAATCATAACAACTCTCTGAACATTTTAGCATGGTGATGGATATGACAATGTTAATATATTTGGTCTTGGCGGAACAGATCTGCTACGCTGCTGCTGAATTGCTGCTGCTGTTGGTTATTGCTGTAGTTGTAGATTATTGCTGCTGCCGCAAGCAAGTACAGGAACTTGCTACTGCCAATGCATATAGCGATACGGTGCCATGAGTATTTAAGACATACTGCCGCTGCACAAATAGCATATAAAATAACCCGTAGCAGATCTATACAGGTGGAGCTGGGGAAGGTGGAGGGTTTCAGAGAACTCTAAAAGCGCGTTGCAGGAATCTCAAGTGAATGCCAGCCAGCCATATAAATGCAAGGCAGTAAGCTCATTGGCTGCATACGGAGCATGAACCAATCAGCTTGTGCCAAGTCGTTTAACTCTCTGAATATCATCAGTTACGTTAACACCCCGTCAGAATGAGCCATCTAGAGTTTCATGACTGAACTATATATTTGTATTTGTTATCCATCTCTCTTTTAGTGCACCAAACAGATGATCTCTGAGAGGTTTGGCCGTGGCTCACGTACTGTGGATTTGGAGCTGGAGGCTCAGATCGAGGTTCTGCGGGAAACCAAACGGAAGTATGAGAACATGCTGCATTTGGCGCGAGCGCTAACCAACCACTTTTACAGCATGGTGCAGACGCAGCACGCCCTCGGAGACACTTTTGCCGACCTCAGTCAGAAGTCTCCAGAACTTCGGGTGAGGCAGCGTGGCCAACTTAAGATTTATGACATTTGTTGTGATTGCCATGCATAATTATGGGACTGCTGTAAACATACTCATGTATTTCATGCTGTTGCGGAATGTATAATTCAAACTGTCAGTGTTAAAAATAACTAGTGCTTACAGACGGGGAAGACTATGTCACCAAGCACTAAAAGGCCACAATTGTTTTTGGATTTACTTTAGCATTTGTGTTTTGTTATTTATACACAACATCAGTAAAGAATGTCTCTAACATTGCTGGATGGATTGTCTAAAAATACTTAAACATGAAAGCTGATTGTTATCATGTACAGCTGAGTGTTATTTTAGTATTATTTATATACTATTATAGCATTTATTTAGTAATATTTTGAATTGGCTTTTATTTTAATATTTTCAGTTTTCCTTTTAATTTTAATTTTTCTGTCTAAATTTATTTTAGTTTTAGTTTTAATCATTTTAGTACTTCAAATAATTTTATTCCATTTAGCTGCCAAGGCAATATTTCTAATTTTCATTTTTTCATCTAATATTTATATTTTGATTTCAGCTTTATATTTCAATTCAAAGTTTAGTTTTGTGGTATTATTCATGCACAGGATGAGTTCGGATATAATGCAGAAACACAGAAGTTGTTGTGCAAGAATGGAGAGACTCTGCTCGGTGCCATCAACTTCTTTGTGTCCAGCATCAACACACTGGTGAACAAAACAATGGAAGACACATTGATGACTATCAAGATGTATGAGAATGCCAGGTAAAAGCTACTCCAGCTCTGTAGCCTTTAGTATAGTGGCCTTCATTAGTTTTTAGTTTTTTTTACAAGGTGCTTGAAGTGTTCCACTTGTCTGCAATATGAAGAGGCACTGGGCCCTACTTTCTGTCAGGGCTGGAAATTCAAGCACTTGAATTGTGTTTTAGGTTAATTAGCCTGTGATGCTACTGGACGTTTTAGAGGGTCATTATACGTTACAGTTGTCTGGTTTAGTATCGAATATAGCAGACAAGATGGTATTGAATGAACTCGGTGTGAGGCACCAACAGGCATTGACAATGACTGGCCCTCTTACTCAGTCTTTAGACTGAAAAGAGAAAAATGAGTAGCATATCCTCTATCACAGTTATTTATTTTGTGTGGTACATGTTGAGATCTTTGAGAAACCTTTGATGCTTTGTGCTTTTATCTGATGCAGTACTAGCTACCTTTAATGTCAGATTTCATCATAAATAACTTTCAACTTTGGGCATCACATTGTATAAAAAATAATTTTATGTGGTGTTTTCTGATCTCCTATAGGCTCGAGTTTGATGCGTACAGGGCAGATCTGGAAGAGTTGAACATGGGCCCACGGGACGCTGTTACTATGGCTCGTATCGAGGATGCTCAGCAGCTGTACCAGATCCACAAGGACAAATATGAACGTCACCGCAGTGATGTCAGCATCAAGCTCAAGTTCCTGGAAGAAAACAAGGTGCCCGACCACCCGCATAACTTCCTCTTGAAATCACTCAAGTAGCCTGTAATCTATTTATTGTTTTTTGACATGATTTGTGTATCTCTCTCACAGGTCAAAGTGATGCACAAGCAACTTCTGCTGTTCCATAATGCCATCTCTGCCTACTTTGCTGGAAACCAGCAACAGCTGGAACAGACCCTCAAGCAGTTCAACATTAAACTCAAACCACCAGGGGCTGACAAACCTTCTTGGCTGGAGGAACAGTGAAATGCCCGTTTACCCCTGGCTTCCTGTTACATGTCTTTAGCCACACAGAGCAACCCAGTAGGACCGCAAGAGACCAGCGTTCTGAGATGCTAGTAGAGACAGGGGCTCCAACAAAGCCTCCTTCACACTAGCTCTCTCTGTACTTCTCTTCATTGATTCTTCTCCTCCTCCTCCTCAACCGGTTCTTGCTCTGAGACTCTTTTCAAGTGTCTGAATAGTTACCTCTAGTATGTAACCGGTCCTTAAGGCTCCAATCAAATGTCAGAGGTATCAGTTTCGGCTTCATCCCTGTAAATATCATTAAACCAACTGAAACAATCTTTCTGATATATCAGTCAGAACAGCTTTTTTTCCAGATTTTGCTCAGTCTCTCTCTCTCTCTCTCTCTCTCTCTCTCTCTCTCTCTCTGTCAGTGACCACATTTTTAGGAACTTTTTCCTTTTGTTTTTCTGTGAAAAGCGTTTTATTTTGTTACTACTGTCTTTTTTTCTGTATTGTAGATTTGGTTTTGTAGCTAATGGGGTATGCAAATTATTCATATCACAGAGCTTTCATTGTTCAGTGTCGGTGGTTCTAACAAAAAGTAATATTATTTTGATAAAATTCAGATATAGTTTTATCTGACATTGGTATTGCATCCTTGTACGTTTGTATGTTTACTAGGCCTTAAGAGTACTGAGTCAATCCTTGTCCGGTCTATTATTTTATTAAAGTATTCTTTAAAATACTTTAAATACATGAAATACTACATTTAATATCTTAAAATGAGTTACTCATTTTAAGTTATTTAACCCTAAATTAATAATACAGAAAAATGTTATGGACTGAATTTCATCAGATGTGGGTACAGTTTCCTGCATGTTTTCACAAAGTTCCGGAACATGAATCTAAAATCACTGTCTTTACTCAATATTGTTCATTTACAGCTTTGAATTTATGAAGCATGATTGTTTTCTCTAAGGGAGAGGAGTGTTTTTTTTTTGTTTTTTTTGCAGTTTGTTTTATTTTGACAATTATAGCTTATTGTCATATTATGTACCAGTGCATGATGCCGTAGAATGTTTGTAGGTTTATTATGTTCATTCTTAAGTTAATAATCATAAGTTAATCAAGGAAGTGTATGATGTATGAGTTGTATTTGATTGTTTTAACATGGGTCAGTTATTGAGGCCCAACGTTATCTGCCTCTTTATCCACCAAAATGTGCACTAGAGTTTATGTATTGACCTGTGTTCTGTTAACATAAGCAAAGCCCTAATATTGTGCTTTCAAATTGCTATTGGTTCTGATGCACTCTATGTTAAATGCCTTTATCTGCCTTGGTTAATAAAAAGGCAATTTTCCTCAATGAAATATTTATATACCCATTAATATCACAGTAACTTTTTTTCTGTCATATTAGTGCTAATGTGTTATTCCATTAACCCTCACAAGTTTCACAAAAATATAGTACAAAATCAAACAGATTTTGTAATAACAATTTAACAATATAAACATTTCAGAATATATTTTTTTTGTATGCATTTTTATTTGTGATCAGATGGTATAATCAGATGAGACTTACTGGGTTTTCATTCACTGAAAATATCTACATAATGCTCATTAATAGCCTTTTTTTTATAAATTAAGATTTTTTTTTTTCAAAATACACTTGGAAATGTTTTTGCTTAAAACAGACTTGATGCAGTGATGATGGGGTTAAAGTGCAGACTGTCAGATTATAGTTTGTCAACCTATTTTTATTTTTTTATTTCATTACGCAAGACTGAAATAACGACTATGATCTAATGTTCAGTACTTTTGAACATTGCAATACTGAAGATGTTTTTAGAAAGTGTATTTTCATGTTTGCCTATATTGGTTGTCCCTTGTGTGTTTCTGCATGGCAGGTCTGATGAAATTAGTTGTACATTTCCATGCATTGTGATTCAATCCTGTGCAATGTATCAGTAAAACACTACATGGGTAGTAGTGCAGCAAAATGTTTTTAGGCAAAACAAAACAAAGGTTTCTTGTGAATGGTACAAAATGCTTGAAATTTAGTTTGAATGCCAATTGTCAAAGATTGAAGATCGTACAATGTCTATTTTTTATTTTTTTTATTGCATTTAAATTAAATTGCCTAAATTGATTTTGTTTTTAATTGATTTAGTTTTGGACCACATGGTTATTCTAGAAGAGAGACCTTTTTATACCAAGTATTTTGTTTTTTATGTCCTGGCATATTTGTCTGGCTGCAGAGATGGTAGTTTGTGTTATTATTTTCATCTTCAGAGCTGGAGAAAAGGGTTCCATCTTGAGCCCCAGAGACTGAACTGATTCATGAAGTGATGGACATTTGTACAGATCAATGGGATTTTAAATTTAGACCTCCTGAACACTAATTCTACATTGATATATTTTCCCAGTAGCTTTCTATTTCTTTTAGATTAAATGCATCCATTAAGTCTTCTTTTTTTGTTGTTCTGTGATTATTATTCTTGCTATTATTATTTTGATTTCTGTTAACAGAAGTGTTTGGCATTGAAATGCGTACTCCATTAGTAGTTTTAGAGCATAGCAGAATGAAACGGTTATAAATATTAACATATTTATACAATCAATATTTTAGGCTGCTTTGTGGTATTGTAGTGTATGAGTGATTGTATATATGTAAAGATAATTGAGACAGATTTTGAAACTGGAAACCCATGGTGTTAGCCTTTGCTCCTGGCTTTGACCAAACCTTTGACCAACAAACGTACAAGAACCCACCAGATAAAATTTGAAAAGTTTGCAAAAATGGTCTTTGTGTCATTTGTACTTTGCTGATGTCCTGTTTGGCTTTTTGATTTACTTTGACCCTGTTTGTCTTCCAAATTGAACAATTCCAACATAGGAACTGAAGTCAGGCCATGCAAAATTAATGCTGACCACTAGAGGGAAATGTTGAATATGGAACTACAGATGTCTTTTAAGTTTTAGGGCCAGTGCTCTAGTAATCTAATTAAATCTTTACACCACTGGATAATAAATGAAAGCTAATAAAACACATTGTTTACCTTCACACAATTTATGTTGAATGTAAATGTAACATTGACTGAATAGATAACCAACCTTTTCCCTCAAATACAAAACTATTTCTAACAAAAACATTTAAACCTGTTTCTGGGGAGAAAAAACTTTCGACACAATAAAAAACAGAAACCCGACTGGATTCAATTAACAAATTCGTACGTTGTATATGTTACACTTGTTGAATAAAGCCGATAGAGGGCAATGTAACTACATTTTTTAAAGATATATACCGTTTTATACACTGCCAAACGACATGACTTACCTTTGACAGTAATAACATATGCGGCTTCTATCAGCTACGACCGTTGCAATTCAAACTGTATTTGCCCGACCTGTTTTAACCCAGCTGTAACCAGTTGTAAATAATTCAACACAATGACCCAGTGTGTGTAGCCCAGTTAGTTTATTTTTTTCTTTAATTATGTAGAATGTTCTTTCTGAGGAACAAGATGTATTCTAAACACAGTAAACAGCAAAGGTGAGAGTTGCGCGCGTGAGGGGGTGTGGCCACTCTCATCCATTAAAGTGCTCGTGCTGCTGGGAGTCGACGGCGTTTGACATGCTGAATGTCTGTTGATTTTCTCCAGCAATGGACGTCAGTTGATTAAGCGTTCATCAGCACTAACCTGATATTATTTACTTACCGGTACGTACATCCAGAAAGTTCTTAATTTTCTGTCACTTTCTGTTTCTTTTCTCATAGTTTTCCGATAATCGGTGATGTTGGACTGGCTTTTAATTATTCCCTCGTTTGAGAGTTGCACATTTCAGAGTTTGATAACTGCCTTGTCGATATATTTTCACCATAAGTTTACACAAAAGACAACACAAAAAGACAGAGCTCGAATAATGTAGTGATGTCTATCATTGTATTTGTTTGATCGGTATCTTTTGTAAACGTGGAATTGCTGTAAGTAAAGCAGTCACTACTAAGTCCTTTCGTAGTGTATTTTTATGCAAAATAATGATTTCATAAAAATATTCATATATAAAAGATAGTAATTATATTAATGTTTATAAATTCCATAAATATTTATATGTAAATAAACAAAATGACCCAATTTGTAGGCTATATGTAATGATAGCCAAGACAAAATCATTACTTTAAATGTTGAAATAAAATTAAGCAGCCAATAGAGTTTAAAAGTAGAGAGACCAAAGTACATGTGATATGCAAAGTTGCCTTTATGCTTGATAATCTTAATTAAATGGTTTGTTTGACTGCCTGTTGAAGTTCCTGTGCAAACTGGTCTTGTAAAGTATTATCTGACTTTGTGGTTTGCTCACACAGCTTTTTTTAAATAAGCAACTTGCTCTTCCAGTGTAAGTGTTATCATTGGAAATTCTTATGTTGGCTATTTATGATTCTCGACATTTGGTTGTATCCAACAGTAATCCAGTAAAATAAGTATGTTATTGATGGTAGAAATCTTGGATGCCTAAAGTTATTTTTTTTAGAAGTGCGACGTTCATTTAGAATTCTGGGTCAGTATGGCACATCATTTGCCTCTCACTGTTTTGTCTTTTTATATTTTTTCCTGATATTTCTATCAGATCCCTCCAGATTTGTCCACTCCGTGTCCTCCAATGGATGGAGCTCCAGTTGTAACCACGGCACCTCTACCTCCTCTGCCTCCTGACCCCTCGAGATGCTTTCAAAATGAGACCTCACCCTGCATACGTATTGCACAGCCCCCTCCCATGGGCCCTCCACCTCCTCCTCCTCCCCCTCCGCCACTGCCACTACCACCCCCACCCCCACCTTCTTCACCTATGGGGGACCCCTTCAACCGGACTGTCCAGCGGCGCCCCACCCCCACCTTCTTCACCTATGGGGGACCCCTTCACCCGGACTGTCCAGCGGCGCTCCAAAATGCGCAACTTCAACTGGGACGCCATCCCCAGGCACAGCGTGTTGGGCAAGCGCAACGTGTGGACAGCCCAACGCAACCTCGAGAACTTTGAGCTGGACACTAAGCGAATGGAGGAGCTTTTTAGCCACAACGAGCACCACGGTTTGGTCCGTAAGGGTGGGACGGTCAGAAAAAGTGTGTGGGGACTTTCACAAATCACTACAGAATCCGAGAATGTAAGTGGCACTGCTTAAAAGTTGATTGAAGCTGAACTTTGCTGTAAAGCTGATGTGTTTGCCATGAAAAACTAGTCATGTATACCTACAGCTGTACTTGCCAGTGAGGCCCTTTAGTTGAGACAGTAGTAGTACTGCAGGATTGAAAGGCAGCTCAGATGTCATCTCTTGTGTATCAAGATTCAAAGTGCAGGACAGGAGCAAGTGGGTGAATTAAACCTGAAATCTAGTACTCGCTAGCGGCCTACATCAACCCAATCTATTACTC